GCTCTCTCTGGTGAAGCTTCTCGCCGCCCCTGAGCCTCTGGCCTGTACCCTAGTTCTGTATGCACAAATAAATAAATCTTAAAAAAAAAAGTATGGAACTTGACTATAAGTGGTGGGGAGTCGATGTGGTCAAAGGCCTTCTTAGATGATCAGTCTGATTATATCAAGCAGTTGAGAATGGTGATACCTCCAAGTCCCGGCCCAGCCTCCCCTCAGACCTAGGCCTGGCGGTGAGACATAGAAGGGGAATTTGCTCCAACAGAGCGTGGGGATCTAGGTCCAAAAGCCAGACATGCGGCCCGGGTGAGAGCAGTTCCGGAGTGGCAGTGCCGTGTATTTGGGGGTTGGTGAGCCCTGGGTGATGATGGCCTGTGAGCAAGGAGCACCAAGCTCTGGTCTCCCTCCAGACTCCATTGCACCCAGGCTGCCAAGACATCCAAATTCACAGGCATCAGAGAGCCCTGAGATTGACAGAGTTCCATCTTCACTCACCTCTTTTCATACTTGGATAACTACTGCAATGTTATTATCCAAAAAAAAAATCAACTTTGAGTGAAATCCAAAGTATTGTTTTCCTCCAAACACATCTGACTCCAGAGTCAGGCCAAGCACACCTACTCAGAGGGTGGTGGTAAGAGTGAAATTGTGAGAGGTTCTTGGCTTAGAGTGAGCTCCTACTCTGTGGCACTTCATCAAGAATTGTTCTGCCAGCTTTCAAACCAACCCTTGCCCCTGGCAACATCCCTTTCACAATATATCAAAATCATAGTCCTAATCCAGGAGGTGTTATCACTTCTTTGTTAACACTGGAGAGGATGAGTAAAAGAGGCTCTTACCTGTTTTTGCCTTGTGAAAGCCAGTCAGGCCTGCCAGGCATGCCTGACACTGTCCCTGCCTGGCCGCTGGCTCCATTTGAAAGGATGGGAATCAGGAGACTGACCTCTATGTGAGGAAGTCCTGATAAAGATAACTTTTACACTCCAACCCTCTGCAGTTACCCTGCTATGATTACTCAGATTACTTCTCTTGAGGTGGTCGATGGGAGAGATCCACTGGGCGGGGGTGCCGGACTTGGACCCGAGACCCATATAAAACCACTGGTGTGGACTCCACTCAATGGCACCATTTGCCAAGAGCTCATTAAGCCAGGTTCCTGCTTGGCTTCTTCGCTTTTATGTCTCAGTGCTATGTAATAGGGACTGCAACGCACTTCTGTGGAGTGGAGTTACTGAGCCCATTATTCAGTTGAGATGGGAAGATGCAGTGATGACATGAGCTGCAAACCAGGGCTCGGCCCAGGAAAACACTGCTGGTCCCCTTCTGGCACATTCCCTCCCATGATTACTGGCTGCTCATCTCTGCATCTCCTTTGTCCAGCAGATGCCAGAGGTAACTCTCTCTCTCTAGGCTGGTACAAAATTCCACATTTGCTCTGAAGCTCCTTCCTGAGGAGGGGCTTAGAAAAGCAGGTCACCTCTCCACAGCCAGTGTGGAGATCAGATGAGCTGTTCCTCTGTAAGCACCTCCGGTAATTCTGGCACTCAACCATGTCTGGGAGGGGACCTTCTCACTCATAAAGTGGTGGTACTGGTTTCTCAGAAAGTAGCGTAGGTGTGCCCTGAAAGCATGTCACCAGTACCGTCAGAAACCAGACATCTCCAGGGACAGGGTAAGGCCACTGGAGAACTTTGATCCAGCCACTGTCCACGTCCCATAGAAAAGGGCAAGTAATGTCACCTGTAGAAGCTTCCATCAATAAATGGGCCAAGCAGAAGGTCATGTGCCCACGGTCCTGAGGAGAAAAAAGTCAGAGGAGAAGACAGAGAAAGTTTAGGGAGTGGTTGGTATAACAAGAGTAGGGCTGGGAAGCTGTGAGGGGGTGGTTTAAACAACCAGCTGATTAAAGGTGCTGAAAATTAAATCATAGGTCTTTGGAGCCAAGGATGAGCCAAGAGGAACGTCCTGCAAAAGCAGCCTTTATCGCACCTGTGCCTTTGAGACCTGTCCTCAGCAGCTCTTGGGGTCAGAATGTTCATTCACTCATACACAGATCATCAAGATATTTCTTCTCATGTATTTACTTGTTTAGAAGTAGGAAGTGAGAATGTTTCTTCTTATTTATTTATTGATTGATTGATAACTAGGTCAGAATGTTTCTTCGCTAATGTTTGTAATGTGTTTAGGAATAGAACATTAGATTATTTATTTGCTTGCTTATATGTGGTTTATATGTATGGAAGGAGGTAGGGATATGGTTCAATGCAACTTCTCTTTCTAAAAGACTTGGGGTAGCTAAGAACTTATTGAAAAGTAAGTAAAGGGGCCCTCCCTGATGGCACAATGATTGGAACGCTGCACTCAAAGCTAAGCCAAGCCATGGCCGCTTCAGTGCAAGTTCGATCCCCACCCCGGAGGTGACCCACACGGTGCAGCAGACCTCTCCTGTCTCGCCCGCTGCCCCCTTCAGCAGTGTACTTTGTCAGTCTGCCTGTTCTGCTCCCCACTCTGTTTCTGGTGAATCCTTTCACCTTCCCTGTTCCTCTGGCCTGTACCCCATTTCTGTATTCATAAATATTTTTAAAAATAGAAAAAAATAAGTAAAGTCCCACCCATGTGGGACCCTAGGGCTTAAGGGTAGCTCAGAACATCCTTGCCCTGAAAGAACTGTCAACCACCGAGATGCCTGGGAGGCCATCTGCACAACTCCAAGCAGAGAATATGGGCTCAGCTCAGACCTAAGATTCAACTTCACCCTTGGAAGGCCAGGCGTTGGTAAGCTGGAGAACTTGCTTATGGTTTATGATTAACAGTGAGTATCCTTTTAATAAGTAGTGAATGAACATAGGTCTAGGCTCCAAATATTTTCATTTTTATGTAGCTATAATTATAGCCCCTGAAACGTTTCCAAAGAAATTAGTGAGATATCAAAGCACAGAATCTGTACTTAGGGGATCATCTTGAGTAACCTAAGGCCAAACATTCTGCTACAGCAGGTTGAATTATATCCCTAAAAAAAGATAGTCCAAGTCCTAGACCCCACGCAACATACCTGTGGCTGTGACCTTTGGAAATAGGATCTTTGCAGATAATAATAAGGTAATCCTGGATTTCGAGTGGGCCCTAATCCAATGACCAATGCCCTTAGATGAAAAGAAAGGGAGATTTGAAAGAGACATAGAGAAAAAGACCATGTGAAGCTGGAAGCATGAATTGGAATTATACAGCTATGAGCCTAGCTGTATAACACCAGCTAAGAGAGGCATGAATAATAATAGTAATGAACAACGATATACCAGAGGCATTTTACAGGGGTGGAGTGGGGAATGGGATCAAAAACGGGGATGGGGGCGGGGAGTTTGGGTAAGTGCTCTGGAATATGGTTATGGCACACGGTGATCTGGTGATGGGAAGCCCACAGGGATTACAACTGAGATGGAAAAAGGCACAAAATGATGTAAAAATAAACTATTATATTAATTTCAAAAGAGAGAGAGAGAGGCATGGAACAGCTTCTCAGAGTCCCAAGAAGGAAGCACTTTCTTGAATCTGGACTTCTCCTTACAAGAAACAGAATAAATTTCCATCATTTTAAGCGTTGACTGATAGAAAAACCTCAGTGATAGCTGGACAAAATGTTTATTAGATAACAAATGAGAAATTGAAAATGAAAGTAGTTTGACAGATTTTACTCTGTGAGGGCTATTCCAACAATCATAAGATTGAATTTAATTTATATAGATAGGAACAGTGAGTCAAAATACTCTTCTTAACTG